ATCGTCTCTTTTAGAATCTTAGGACTTTTTGTTGTTTTAAGAATTGGAAGGGACTCTCAAAGAGAGCCCCAGAGGGAGACCCTGATTGCCATGCAAGTCTGGGTGGATGTGAGCTGGAACCTAGTCTTTGAGCTTGTGGTCGAGTGTGCTGGGTCTCCTCGCTGCTCACACTGTGGTCCCTGGACCAGAAGCATCAGCACCACCTGGGAGCTTCTTAGAAAAGGAGAACCTCGCCACCCCGCCCCAACCTGATTTACAGAATGAGTTACAGAATCCAAATCTGCATTTTATCTGATTCCAGGTGGTTCTATGCATGTGAAAGTTTCAGAAGATTTGTATATACCTGGTGTGATATTGTTCTTCTGAGTTCCTGAAGGAAACAGTAAGTCAATACATCAAGGTCTGGTTTCTAGTCCTGTGAGAAGCTCTCTCTTCTTGAAAGCTTCCATTTTGAGTCACTTTTGAGGAGGATCCCTGCAAATTGGGAATTTAATCTCTTTGTCTTTTTAATAAAAGCCACCTGTGTGTTAGGCCTGAGGACTTTATAGCTGATTAATTACAGAGCTACTTGCCTGTTGCAAATGGAAAAATTTAACATGATCCTAATCAGTGAGTTTATTAATCTATCCTTGGTTCTTTTGACTGACATCCATGCTCAGATTTTATTTTTCACAGCATATTAGGTTAAGAAGTGGATTCATTGATTTGTTTCCCAAGAAACAACGGCTGTTTGTGTGTCCTGACGTGATCCCTCATTCGCGGATGGCTTGGCCCTTGCTCCCAGGAGTTTAGAGTCTGTTTGGAGTTTACAGTTTACAGTTCTAGTTGGAGAGACAAGATCATGCTCAACCCCTACATTTTATGGGTGAGCAAAACAAGCCACAAAGAGTTGTGGGACCTGGCTTAGGCAAAAGTGTCAGGCAAGACTCAGAGGCTCCAGGTCCCAGTGAGAGTCTGGAACTCTCTGAAGAGCAAGTAGGTTCTGCCGAGGAAGTCTGTCCACAGGTGCAGGGCTCAGCCTCCGCTGATGGGGCATCCTGAAGTTAAGGTGGGAAGCAGCGTCCTGGGTCAGGACCAGACAGGCACAATGATACTAAAAAGCACAGTCCAACTTACTCAGGGTCATAAGTCATAGCAGTTTATATTTTTACAAGCCCCTGTGAGGTAGACACTGTGACTGATGTTTTATAGATAAGGAAGATGAGGTTAACAGAGGTTGCATAATTCAGCAAAGATGCCACGGCTGGTAGAACCAGTGCCCATATGCATTGCCTTCCCCTGCTGCCTGCCCAGAGATGTGTCACTCATCCTTCTGCCCGAGTCAGGCTGGGTTACAGTGATGGCAGCGCTGGGCTGGAACGAGAGATGAAAGGGCCCCAGCTGCAGGAGGTGTGCCAGGCTCAGACTGAAGCAGGACAAATAGACCTATTAAGGTGACAAAGAAGGAGGACTGGCTCTGATGGAATACAGATCCCGGGCCCTCTTTCCTAGTGTAATGCTACACAGAGACAATTGTCACCTGTCCCACTCTGGGACAGTGAGCTAAATGACAGGAATGGCTGGCTGCAGGGCTCGGCGGAAGGTGAGGTCTCCCAGTTGGACTGATGAAAGGTTGGAGAGGGAGAATAGATTGGAGGGGTCAAGAAGGGACCAAGACCCACACTCCTGGAGGCTGGCGATTAAGACCCTGCTCCGTTGGGTTCTTGCCCCAGGGTGTGCCTGGCGAGCAAGGGCTCGGATTGCAGAGCCAAGCTGCTGCTCTCCTCTGGGTCCTGACGGACAGAACCTTTGGGTGACCCCGACAGCTTAGCCCCAGGCCATGTCTGAGTTGCCCTGACTCCTCCCGGGGTACACAGGATCCCCTCCCAGCTGCCAGTTCTGGGCCTTCACCTCTTCAGCACAACCCTGAGAGTTTCTGCAGAACTTCCTGTTTGCCTGTGTTGCACTGGCCCACCCGGGGTCATCTGGCTAGGCCCCGAGCAAGAGGTGGGGGTCAGCTGCGCTCTCCCCGCCGCTCCTCTGGGTTCTGTCCACCCACACAGCCGGGTCCTCTGGGACCACTCCCATTGCACCCCGAGGCCAGTGGAGCTGAGGCCCTGTATCCAAGTTCAGCTCACAAGAAGGTCAAGGTGACCCAGAAAGGCCTATGGCCAAGATCCTTAACTTTTTTTTTTTTTTGACTTTCCACAAAGGCCAAGTAAGTGATGACTTCAGGACATGGCGTTCCAGAAACAACTGGAGATAGGAACATAAGTCCCCCTTGGTTGGGGTGATGTACCAAAAGCACTTAGAGGGTGAGATCTTTGAGTGTCACGTGGTCAGAAACCCCCGTGCCTATTAACCTCAGTGGGCCTGCCTGGTGGGTGCTGAGCTTGCAAGGAGCTGTCAACGGGGAGACAGAATGAATGTTCCTGGAGGGCAGGGACTAAATTAACACGGGCGTTGGAAAATCTCCAGCATGTGGGCCTGGAAAATGTTCTTGCAGCAAAACAGAGTTTTCTGGGCGGCTGCTATTCCTTCCACAACCTGACTGAAGTCACCAGGCAAGGGGCTGGTTGCCCTGACTAGCCCAAGGCTGTTCACCAGTTAGAGTGTTTCAATGCTGAGAGAGAATCATTGAAATACAGCATTGCATTTGAACATTCTGTCTGAGCAGAACACTGTCAAGACAGGCTTTTGAAGCCCAGGGTTCGGGAGCCCTGAGGAACTTGGTCTGGGGCCTTTCTCCAGGGACTTTGGTCTGTGACAACAATTAAAAGGAACAGGATGCCGTGGCCTCCCCCCAGACTTCCCCAGAGGTCCATCTGCTTCCCCGTGTTCCCTCACTAGACACATAGTCTGGGCTCTCGTGGGTCTCCTGTGACACTATTTTGTTCTTCTGCTCCTTCAGAGCCACCGTTGCTAGGCTCAAGGGGTCTTGCCTCTGTGAGCAGTGTCTTCAGGAAAGCTCTCCTTTTTCGAGCCCTCTGTAGGGCCTGCTTTCCTGTGGGATCCTGGCAGACACAGGCCGACCTCCTGGTCATACCAAGCATATTTCACGCTGTCCGCATTATTGCTGTTCTCGTTGGTTCCTGACTCTTGACTTCTCCTTGTGAGAGCAATGAGGCAGAGCAGTGGGCGGGTGCAAGGGGTGAGCTGTGCGGGTGCAAGGGGGTGAGCTGTGCGGGGAGGCATTGGAAGGCTTCTGGCTCACAGTGGCCTGCCAGGGCTGGGAGTTGGGCACTGGGCAGGGGCCAAAGGTGGGGAGGAATGCAGGGTACCACGGGTGTGCACCGTCCAGATTGCAGGGGCCACAATGTAGCCCAGCAAGCAGCCCCTCCAGCGGACACTAGCTTCAAGGTCTGCCTGAGCAGGTGGGGATAGAAGGGCTTCAATCCCATGTGGGAACTCTAACTGGGTCCCTGATGGATGGTGCTTTTCCCCCTCCTTTCTGAGCACAGTCCCACACTGCCCTTCCTCATGAATATTGGTCTCTGTTCAACATCTGGCGCCCAAACTCCGGCTTACTGTGTCCTCAGAACCCAATAAATTCTATTTCTATCTGGAACAGCAAAAGCTTGACATGTTGCAAGGATCTCTCAGGCTTTCTTTGCCTGAACTCCCAGAGGGCACAAGAGAATGTGAGAGCCAGTCATTTCGGATTAGGGATAGCATGGCTTTGTGCACACCCAGAGGGTTAGAAAAGAGACAAAAAAGGAATATTAGAGGAGGTAATTATATTTTTTAAAAAAATTTTAAATATAATTTTTATAAAATTATTATATATAAATATATAATTTAAAATTTTAAAGTTAAAATTTAAAATTTAAATTTATAAATATATAAATATATAAAATTTTTAAAATATAATTTTTATAATTTAAATATAATTTTTGAAATATAATTTTAAAATATTTTTCCAGAAGTATATATATTTGAAATATATATATCTCCAAAGTGGAAACTAGAGGGAAATACAAGTTTGAAGACTTAGAAGTGTCTCTAAGGTGGGGGTCAGCTGCGCTCTCCTGTGAGAGTGTCTGTGTGCCTGATGGTAAGATTTTGCTCCGGAGCAGTGTGCATTCTCTAGGGTTAGGAGACAGGAAAAACAGGAGACAGGAGACTACACTTTTCCTGCAGCCTTTGTCCCCTTCCCATCATCTGACCGGCTCAGACATGGGAGCAGGTGGTGAAACCATTAGTTGGTGGTGGTTTCACTGGTTGGTGAAACCAGTGGGGGTGAAAACTTCAACCTCATGCTCCTCTCCCCTCTTATATCCTTTCCTGGTTGCTTCCCCTTTAGGATCCCAAGTGGGTGGCTTGACTCCAGTTTAAATGAGTCTCCATTCCATCCTGTGCCACCCTGGTACTACCTCTGCAGTGACAACAGGCACTCCTTAAGCAAAATATCCCGAGTGGGTGGATGGATGCTGAGAGGAGGTGTTGGATCCCTGGCCAGAGGTATAAACAAGGTAGAGTGAGGGTTACAGCTAAGGATAGTTCTCAGACTGAGGGAACTCCTAATTGCAGACATACCTGAAGTCACACCTGAACAAAGGTTCGTTTATGACATCAGACCTGCACCAGCTGGGTTGCCTAGGCCATATCCCTGCCAACATAGGGTCTCAGCCCAACGTTTGTCTCCAGCCTGTGAGTCCTGCCCATAAATAAATTAGCATGGAGAATTCTGTAGCCATCCCTGGGACCTGTCTTTAAGCTTTAGTTTAGCACATGGTTCGGGGTTGGTTTGGGGTCCCTCGTTATAAACCCCTTGGGGGTTTAGATCTTATGGCTCATAAATGGCACTGAGGACTGCATTTCTTCCCTTGGTCTTGGTCTCTGTGTGCAAAGACCGGAGAATGGCGATGGTGCCCAGCCAGTGCCGGGGCACATGGGAAGAGAGTCCAGCACAAATTACTCTTGATATTTTCCAAGGTCATGTTGAATGGCTTCATACCTGCCAATTCTTTCCCAAGTCTGCCCAAGCCCATTTTCCAGCCAAAAGATCAAAAAAGGAAACATTTTCAGTTTTCAAAATTTTATTGAGATGTTGAGGAGAAACAGCCAACATATACATTCCTCATTTTGTCACAATTGGCATTTTACCCACACGATAGGCTCTTCTCTGCCTGTCATCCTCTCATTGCTCCCTGGTGCTGTATGAAGTTCACCAGGACAGAGCCCCCAGGTGGCATCAAAAGTGGGAGCGGTAATTGCGATTGGCTGTAGGGAAAGGACATGTTTGCAACAGGGACACTCGTTAGAACACCCCCCCATTCTCCTCTTCCTGCCCCAGTAGGAATTGAACTGGAAATGAAATTCTCAAATTGATTTGCCACCTGCTCCCATGAGATTTTGGGTCCAGGAAAAGCTAACTCCAAGAGGGAAGGGCCCCTGGGGTGAGTCCCCTATGTCTGATTGCTTGCCTGCTGGTCCCTACTCACCATCATCGCCCCGTTTCCTACTCTTTAGGCTGCCCTTCCGGTATTTTCTTTTGCTGCCACCTCTCTTCACTCCCTTGTGAGGAGCTCGGTTCTTGACCCTCCTCATGCCATGGCTCTTTAATTTGCGGCTGGTCGACATTGTAATTTCTGCCAAAATGAGGGGCTTTGCAGGGCCCGGAGGCCAGGAGTCTGGGTATTTAAGGCCTTAGCCATTGTGACTGTGAAGGGGTGTGGCTTAGCAGGTGGGTGGGGCTCCACTGTGATGTCACTGGCCTTTGTTACATTTTGGTCATATAAGAGAAATAAGGTGGCCCCTCTAATGCAGCTCAAGGCTACCCTCAATTTTGAGGCCCTTTTTATGCTAAATGAGAATTTCCAGACAGGTGTTATTGAGCAATTCAATTTCAGCTCTGTGCCAGGCATCTGGAGAGTGTAAGATACCATCAGAATAGGTATCTCTTGCCTGTAGGAAATTTAATGGCTGTTGAGTGTGGGTACATGCATGTGTGTTTAAATCTCTCTTACAGCACTGAGAGATCACAAATATATTTTTGTAAGGCCGTAACTCTAGGAAACCCAATTCAATATGAGCAAAATATAAATATTCCTTCTCTTTCATCTATGACACTATGGGGTGAGTAATTTTGTGGGACTGTCCTGTGCATCGGAGGATGTTCAGCAGTATCCCTGACCTCTACCCATAGATGCCAGTAGCTGTGACAACCAAAAATGTTTCCGAACATTGACTTGTGGGAGGGTTACAATCACCCTCTGTTGAGAACCATTGGCTTCACCATTTAAAAAATATTCAGTCATCAAATACTTACTGATCATCTAGTATATGCCATGCACTTAAGTGCTAGAAAAATGATTATGGATAAAACCAGACATAGACCTGTGGTGGCTTTCAGCTTCATCAGGGAGAAAGCCATCAGAAATCTACACAAATCAGTAAATAATTACTTCCCAACAGGGTGCAGGATAATTACATTTTGACATGGTGCAGGATGAGGTTGGAGAGAGAAGCAGAGACCAGACTAGGCTCACGGGCATTGGGAAGCCATGGAAAAATGTTTACATATGTAATGTGACAAGATTAGAGGCTGCTGGGTGGAAGGTGGATTGATGGGGATGTAGAGTGAATAAAGGGAGACTCTAGTGCCAATAGTAGTGGTTCAGGAAAGAGAAATATTTGGACATATTTCAATAATGGATCAGGCCTGGCCAGAAATTGTGTTGATCAGGATGTAGAGATGTGGACAGGAGATACAAACTTGGTAATGGATGGACTGGCTTTGGCTGGTGACAGCAGAAGGTGTAGAAGGTGTGGCTTTTCTGTGTAATATAGCTATCTGGATGCTGGTGCCACTCCCCAGGATAAAGGCAAGGCATGGGGACAGTGATCATCATGCATTTTGGTTTAAAACATTTCAGGTTTGAGATGACTTTGAGATTTCAAAATAGAGATATTGCATGATTGCTGAGTTCATGGGTGTGGAGCTCCAAGTGGAAGCATGAGCTGGAGATATCCACTGTCTTCAACTTCCCCAGCAAGATTCAACAAGATTCTTCTTCCTCCTTCATACCTTATATTCAGTCCTTTGAAAAACATTTCAGTAGAACTTGGTCATTACTTCCTCTTTCTGTCCCTCCTTCTTTCTCCCCTGCCATCATCCTCATTCAAGAACCAAGCACCTTGGGCGCCTGGTTGGCTCAGTTGGTTAAGCAACTGCCTTAGGCTTAGGTCATGATCCTAGAGTCCCGAGATCGAGTCTCGTATCTGGCTCCTGGCTCAGCAGGGAGTCTGCTTCTCCCTCTAACCCTACCCCCTCTCATGCTCTCTCTCTTTCAAATAAATAAATAAGATCTTAAAAAAAAAAAAAAAGAACCAAGCACCTTGCACGCATCAGGTTCTTAGCAAAAGTTGGTTGAATAGAAAAGAGAACTAATTCAAGTTCCACTCTCGGCATTTCTGATGTCTATAGGTAAAATGACAAGTCATGTTTTGAAACTTAGATTCCTTGAAAAGCCATCATAAGTGACACTTTCCATTATCCTGTTTCCAGGTGGGTTCTGTTGGAGACTTTGATTCACTCAAAGAGGGAGGAGCTCCAGGAAACAGGCTGCAGCCTTACCTTTTTGTTTCTTGGGACTTTCCTGTACACTCCAGCCTTGTTCCTCCTGCAAGCAAGTTCCGTGAAAGCAGAAGTTTAAAAATCGTGTTTGCTGCTCTATGTTCTCGAGGCCTTGAACAATCCTGCCACAGAGCAGGAGCCCAAGAAGGGCCCAAGAAGGGTTGAATAAATAAAAAGTCCTTCGATTTTTCTTACTAAATCCTCCCCATTTTGTCCCACCTGTCCAAGGAAGCCTTCCTTGACTTTTTAGATTTTCATTGTTCTTTGTAATTTTCCCATGCTCATGGTCCTTAATAGTGTTCTCAAAGTCAACCAAACCTAAGTGTGTGACACCCTGTTCCATGCCCATATTGCTGTGTAGTGTGCATGAGTCTGATCTCAAGAGGAGGCAGTGTGTCTTGGTTCTTGTCTTGATTGTGCCCTAAGTATCGCTTCTCTGGACTTCAGCTCCTTTATTTTGTAAATAAACTGGTTGGGTTAGGTGATCTCTGACATTATCTGATTTTGCAGCAGGCACCTTGTAGTTAGGGGTTGTATTTTTTATTTCTACCCCATTTTCCATGGATACTGACATACTCCACGGTAGGTGGTCAATAAACATTCATTCATTCTCACTCCTTGGGTATAATGAGGACGGACAGTAAGACACAGAATGACTCAGAATACCACGTAGGAGCATTTCTAGACAGGGAAGGGTCAAAAAGACATTGTCTCCATCGTAGGCCCCATTGCTCCTGAGCCTGCTGACTAAAGCATTTGCAGAGGAACTGGACTCTTTAGTTGGAAAGACATTTTCTGGATGGTCCTGGGGACTGGATAGTATTTCTCTCCCCACTGCCCCGAGTCCATCCCATCCCCAAAGATCCACTCTGCCCATGGGAAGCTGAGGTCACAGGGAATAAGGCAGCCGGACTTGAGAACTGATGAACAAACAAAGAAGAGTCCCCTTTGACCTAGGATTAAGGAGTTTGGTTTCAGACACCCATGCTGAGAAACTCCAGCAGCAGAGAGCCCAGTGTGGGGGGAGACACTCGCATGCCAGTCAGGGCTGGGGTTGTGGGTATGTGGGTTGGCTTCTGGCTTAGGACTCCTGGAGTGAGGACAGAGCAGGGCTGAGCAATGGGCACTGCTGCCCGTCTCTGTTTCTCTTTCCATTTCTGCCCCAGTGTTGCTTGAGCCAAGGGCAATTTAGATAGGGCACAATGAGTTCATCACTCCTGACCTTTAGTGGACCCGGAGCCAACCTTTTTTTGAGAACTGTTTGTGAATCCAGTCTGCTGACTATCTTCTTATCTCTAATTCTGCTCTTTTTCTTTCTTCTTCTTCTTCTTTTTTGCATGATGAAACTGAGGCACAGAGTGGTTACATGAGCTCCTTCAAATAACCCAGCACAGGAGTAACAGAGTTGCCCAATAAAACGATTTCCTCCCTACTTTGGCTTCCCTGGTGGGTCTTAGTTTTGTTTCTCTTGATGCAAGGAAATGGATATTTTCTGATATTGCTAAGGGGACATGGAGAGAAAACTGAAGTCCTTGTCTTTTTAGAAGAGGAGCTATCAGCCCTCTCTCTCTTGGGGCTGAGTGTTATCTTGCCTGAAAACAGGTGGTAAAACAGAATAGTAGTCTTTATCTCCCAGAAGGATGGCCAAAGTGGTACTGTGGGGAAGAGGTTGGAAGACAGCACTCCCAATGGCCCCTCTCTTAGGTTAGGAAGGGGCAGGAGATTTGGGCATCACTGTTTTGAAAGTCAAATCTCTAGTGGAGTCCCATTTCACCTCTCCAATTCAAACTCACTCCATTAATTTTCCTGGTTAGTCCAACAGATGTCTTCCCAGGGCTGGATCTCTCCAGCAGGCCGGGAATTGGGGCTTATTAAGAAGGAAAATGCAAAAGTTGATGACAGTCCTTACACATGTCGATGACTCAGTCTGAATCCCTCTCTAAAACCTAAGTCTCTCCAGATGTTGACCTCAGCTGAGAAGTGGGGACCTTCTACCCTGTTCACATGCACGCCCTGCCTTCTTTGCTCTTGCTCTTGCTGCTGCCACTGCTGTTTGGGCAGGCGAAGGGGGCTCAGGAGCAGGCTATGGGATGAAAAAGCTGCCGAGAGAGGGGTCTCACCAGGGACAGAGGTCTCTGAGCTCAGGACTCATCTGATGTCTCCAGTAAGGAATAAAGAGAAACCAGAGCCCAAAGTCAAGGAAGGAGGGACCTCAACTCCACTTGCCTCTTTTTCAGTCCGGTTCTGGGAAACAAGGAAGCATCTTGGTTCTGAGGATGTCTGAGTTCTGCCTGAAGATTTGTTGGGATTCTTTCCCATTTGTCCTTCAGGCTCCTTTCCCATCCTTTTTGACTGCTTTCCCAAACTGTTTTTCTGTAAACGATTTCTGTTTTCCAGGAAGAGAGAGTTTGGGCTGCTAAAAGGTAAGAGACACATCATAAGACCAGTGGCCCTGGGAGGTTCCTCAGGAGTCACCTGGACCCCCTCCTTTTGGCTGCCAAGAGGCTTGTCCAATGGCTGCATCCTGGCAGTGCAAGAGCCATGGTTAGACCCAGAATTGCTGATTCCCATGCCAGAGACTGCCCACTGCTCCTTACTGCCTTCCCTGCTGGAGTAGATATGGCCTTCACTCTCTATCTGTTTGCCTTTTCTCTCTTACATGTGCTGCTAGGATCACAGTGAAGGAATCTAATACTGAAGGAAGATGGAGTACTCGTCAGAGGACATAGTGAGTTCTTAGATGTAGAGTGTGAATTTGGAGGTCTTCTGCACAAGTTTGAAATTCTTGCTTGGAGAGAATTCAAAGTTTTGTTTTTCTTGTTATTTTTGAACTTACAAAAAGTTATTTGAATACATCCATTCCTTTTGTAACTACTAATGATAAGGCCACATGCTGTAATAGTACAAAAAGTAAATCCAAATTTTATGCTTCAGAAACTTCCAAATAAAGTTTCCACATTAACTACTCCCCTGACCCCGCTGACCATATGACGCTGTCTATACCATAGTGAAGAAGAAGCTGTCCCTTGCTGGAATGCACTGGGGATATAGTTCCCTGAAGCCATAAGGCAAAAACAGGGCTGTGGCCTCAGAATAGAAAGGGGGTGTTATGGTATGAAAATATCACACATATTCAATCATTTGTCTTCATGCGGTCTTTAGGAACAAATGTGTTTTATCCATCCACCAACTGGAGTAAGGAACTTTGAGTTGGTAGGGTTGCTAGAGAACAGTTTCATAATAAATAGGTTTGGGGATGAAGGGTAACTTGTTCAAAGTCACAAGTTATAGGCAAACTTAGATCTCAAGCCCAGATCTCCCCATCTCTAGACCAGGCTTTTTGCCTCTGTGCCATGAGGCACTACTGTTGAGATTTATGGCTTTTTTTTCCCTTTCTTTCTGTGCTCTTTTTCTGCTTTTCTCTTCACCCTTCATGTTCTGTGACCCACATGCCAGGGGTCATTGCCCTCTGCAAATCATCCCACCCACCAAGCACCATCATGTCACTGAGTTTGAGGGTACCTGCCCTGTGAAAGGGAGAAGAGTTGTCACCAAAAGGGGCCAAGGACCAGAGAGACAGACTGTTGCCACAGCCAAGGGTCAATGCCTTTATACTTGATTGTAAGGCATTGTGACCAATGTGTTGGTAGGGTACATTGGCCAGAGGAGACTCTCAGTCTTTCTGGATTGTTTTTAGCATAAATGCCTATTATAACTCTACTGACCAAAGTTAGGTCAAGAGAGAACATCACAATCCAATGATATCTCTTTGGCCTGCTGTGAAGAAACTCCACTTCCTACTCTGGTGAGCAATGAGGGTGAAGGAGAGAAGAAATGTTGGAAGAACAATTTTACTTTGCCTCTTGTGTATCTTGAAAATTGGAACTGACAAAGAAAGCTTGTCTGACAGAATTGTTGCCTATTTGGTTTCTGCATTGTTCTTTTGGGCAGAATTCTCATGTTTTGAAAAGTAGGTTTAGCTGTAGGTATATTAAAGAAGGAGAAAAAAGTAACTCTTTCACAAATCCTGGAATTCTGTGGTCCAAAACACAAAGCTTTGGTGACACTTTGCCCTTTACACACCCTCTGCTGGGACAGCAGGGATGACTGCCTAGTGAAATCTTCAAAACAAAGTCTTCACTTTCAATATGTCCTCCTTCCCCCCCACCAAAAGACACAGATTCTTTGAGTGTTGCAGTGATCAGATTTTATTGATCAAGAAATTCTCAATGATGGGCAGTCTTATTTTTGTTCTGGGAGGAAATGTGGAGAGTAATGCCACAGAGGTGCTCTGGAGTTTTGGTAAGGACCGTATCACCATGTGGAAATATTTGTATCCCCTATAGAGCACTGTCCTGCAATAGTACTGGGCAGTTTTTCCATGCTGTAAGGAAGTAAAGACAAAATTCAGGTTATAAAGTTCCATGGTTAGGGTAGGAGGGTCTCAGAATGTTCTTCAGGTGGGCACACAAAGTCAACTTGACATTTTCCAGATTTTTCCTTCTGTTACCCTTTTAGCTATGGTTTGGCCTGGCTTACTTGAAACTTCCTGTGATGCCTGTTCCTCATAAGCCATGTCTCTCTGGAACAAGTTACATTATTTGCGGAACCCAGTGAAAGGTGATTATACTGGCCTCTTGTTAAAAGATATGTTCCAGATGATGATAGCAGAGCATAAACCAAGCCTCAGGTCCCCCAAGTACAGGGTTGTTTGTAAGCCTCTGAAGTTCCTTCTTACTTAAGGCACTTCTAGTGGTAAACAGCCAGGTTGAGACATCTCTATCTAATTCATCTTTATAGTCCAGGAGAGCTGGTCGTCTTATTCATAATGGGGCCTTGATGAATACTTATAAATGGCTTGCTTCTCACCGAGGCCACACCATGTGCCCGAGAATGAATGAAGTCTCTTCAGTAATGCCTCCATCACCACTTCCTCTCTCCCCTCCTATTACATATCCTCCAACTTCTCCCTTTACTCCTCCTAAATTCCCTCAGGATCACACATTCAAGAACTTGCCAGTTGCTTTCCTCTTCCTCCTCCATGCTCTCCTTGGTGGTTCATTTTTCTATGCTCCTGAAGAAAGTCCTCTGACTCCTAAGGGATGGTAGTTGTTAGAATCCCAACATGGGTTTTCTGGTTATTTACCTGAAAATGGTTTTCTGAGCCTTGAGATGGGGCAGACGGGGGAGCATTTGAAGTAAACAGGCCACTGTGGCCTTGGACTTCCCCGCTGTGGTATGTCACAAAGTCTATATGAGATCAGCGACTAAACCTACAGGAGAAGGGCTGAGCAGTAGGACCTGAAATGATTTCCTTCAACATTTAGTCAGACTGATTTTCTGGATCCAAGTCTTTCGACCTACTAAACGTGGACAGATTATTTCATCTCTCTGGTATTAAAAATCTTCTTTTAGTTAAAGCCAGAAGGACAGGGACTTAATGGCAATCCTATTATTTTACTAATGAGGAAACTAAATGCCCAGTTGGAAATGACTTCCTTATAGGCTTCAGAAAATTGCTCAAGGACACATAAATACTAAACAGCAGAGGAGGAATTAAATCCGCATCTACTTAATTTAGTGCTTCTGCACAGTGTGTCCTCATGTATTTGCTGCCATGGTAGATAGAGGCAGGGAGTTTAATCACCTAGAGGGTGACATATACTTAATGTTTACCAAGAAGAGAAATAGGGACAAAAGACTTGAATATTAAAACCCAGAGGACACTGACCCAAGTCAGTAATGGGGATAGAGAAGAAGGGGTGGGTTATAAAACACTGAGGTGACTGAAGAGAGGAAGGGAAAGAGCTATGAAGGGAAAGTTTGAATCCTAGACTTCTGTCCTGAGTGAATAACCACCAGTAGATACTAGAACAGCACTACATTTGGACAGAGAGTACTGGTTTTGGTTTGCACAGATATCTGCTGGACAGACCCAATGTCCACTACTATGTGCTGAGTGGACAAATGAGACATAGGTAACTAGTTCAGAAGAACAATGGGCTGGTGATGTAGAGCTGAGCACTGGCAAAGTAGAGTTTTGTGTAGTCGAATCTACAGGGGTAGAAGAGATGGTCTAGGGACAAAATTATGGGATTTGTCATCAATCTTTAGGCATTTCAGGGGAGGCAGATGAGGAAGGAGACAGAGAGCAGAATAAAACTCAGGCAAGAGTGAGATGGCAAAGTAATAGTTCAAACATGGAAGCACCAGACGTGGGGTGCCATAGCACTCACTGGGGACCTGCTGAGTGCCAGGCACTGTGCAGAGCACTGGAGGAACCTCATCTCATTTTTCAGTCCTACCTTATTTGACTCTGTAGAGCATGTGACACTTAGGTTCCTGCAGAGGCAGAGTAGAGGGTGTGGTCAGGAGTGCAGTGGATAGAGGAGAGACAGGAGGTGAGGTAGTGAGGAGTGGAGATTGTTTTCAAGCAGAAGAAGGTAAGCCTTTCTCTAGCAACCACCCTCTCCTTTGCTTCACAGCCAAGCTTCTCTAAAGAGGAGGCTTTATTAAACCACTATTGCTCTGACATAGAAAGTTCTTCCGGACTCACTTTACCCATGTGTCCTTCACCCCTACCTAACCTCAACCTCCTCCTTTAGAGATAGATAAGTCTGCAGTTTGAGATGGACATCCAGTCTTGATTCATCCTTATTATTTCACCTTTGTGTCTTCCTTCAGGCACCTTACACTCTGGGGGTACAGAGCCAAGATAATAGCTTGTGCTTGGAACAGTGCCAGGAATATGGTAAGTACTCTAGAGATATTAACCTATTTATGTAATCCTTACATCAACTCTGTGAGGTTGGTACTATTATTGCTGCGTTCCAGGACCAGGGGGTTTGGGTAACTTGTCCAAGACCCTGTAGCTAATAAATGGAGGAGCTGAGTTGTTCTTGTGTAAGAAACTAGAATAATTTCTCATGTAAGACATATTTTACATTTTTTAAAAATATTGAGCACAAAGATAGGCACTCAAGAGATGGTCAGTAAATCCTTGCCAATTGAGAGGTGGATTGCTATTATTTATCAAAACAAAGTTCTTGAATAAAGATATCCTATTCACAAAGTGAAGATTTATTCAGGCATTTGGTGTGTGCGAGAAAGGGGGATCCATGTTGATATGTACCTAGGCTGGTGAGTTCTCAGGCATATTTTAGTCATAATTTGGGATCTCACAAACATGGCTCCATTACTTCCTTTCTGCCCATTCCTCACTCTGACCCATGCCACCATGAATTCATAGGAAAGAGCACAGAAACAAACAAACCCAGAGGCAACCGCAGATCCTCAATACAAATTTGGATGAATAAATCAGTTGTTCTGTCAGACCATCTCTAGGACATAATACCGTTATCATTGACTCCAATCCTTTTAGTTCAAAGATCTGAATCCTATGGGTGTGGAAACAACTGGATTGTTAGTAACTTTTGATGAAAGAGGACATAGAATAAATTAAACTCAACTTCACAAATGTGTACATAGGTTGTTAAAATATAACTCTATGTCCCTTTCTTTCTTCTCTCTCTTTCTCTCTTTCCAAACTTTGTTACGTTCCCTGGGATTAAAACCTTGGGTCTTACATTAAAAGAAGAACAAGAGTACTGTAGAATTCCTTGCCTCCTAGAGTGTTCAAGAGGTAGGAAATTAGAGGGACTGTGAGAGGTGCTTGGATTATCACCTCCCTTGCCCCCACATGAGATGGATCCTCTGGATGAACCATGGTTCAGGAAGTGTGCTTGAAACCAGGCTTTAAAGGAAAAGAGGAGATGACTTATGTCTTGGGGCCTCCCAGCCAGTCTTTGCCTTCTGGCACCGCCCAACAACCATCCAAGTGTGCTCCTGCACTCTTCCCTCTCCTTTATTGTCCATGTTGAGTCTTCCTTCATGATGCTGACATTTTCATGTGCTGGGGTGGCAGCCCTTGACCAATCCTTGTTACTTGTGGATTATATAATTACTGAAGCTACTTGAATCTCTGTTTTCATGTCAACTGTTGTCCAAATAAACTTCCTAAAGCAAGGCTAATCATATCACTCTTGTTCAAAACGCTTGGGAAACTCTTTACTGCCCTACGACGTTTCATATCTGCCCTCTCAACCTCAACCTTGCTTTCTAGCCATGTCTTCTGTTCTCACCCTCAGGGAACCTCTGCTGTTCCAGCTAAGTTGGGTTATTTGAAATGTAGAAATGTACAGGTGTTCATGAGAAATTCAGTGTCTTAGCTGAACTGTTATATTTTAGCATCTTTACTTATTAAATTCTTATACGTCCTTCAAAACTCAAAGCAAGGTCCCAAATTGTATAATTATTTCTTTAATGAAGTCTTCACCTTTTGGGTACATTTTACATCATTTACCAGATTCTGTCCAGAATTTTTTTGTATACATATCTTCTCTTCCCAGACATTGATCTTTTTGAGGTTGAAGCTGTATCTCTGTGAGGCTCTGGGGGATAGGGCAGGGGTAGTAGATTACCAAGATATGTTGGACTAGAGCTTTGAACTCCACATTGTTGGGGCTGGGGAGGGGCAGGAGGGAGAGATTACAAAGGGTCACAGGGAAACTTTTGGGACTGGAGGATATGCTTATTATCTTGATTTGTGTAGATGTATTTATGGGTGTACACCTATGTCAAAACTTATCAAATTGTACATGTGCAGTTTATTGTATGTCAATTATACCTCAATACATTCATTTAAAAATGTCCATATTATTCAAATCCTTGTTAAAAAAGCTCTTTCTAGAAATAAGATGATGGGACCAGGAATGCATACCTAAATGTGCCAGCCAATAAAGGCTTTGAAGATACTGGGTCTGAAAGGCCAGGACAATTTTACTTGGTTTGTATCCTCCAGGGTGGCTTGTATGGGCTATACTGATGGGCAGCCAGCTGATTCTAGCAGTCCTAATAGGAACTTTCTTGATTTTGTCCAAATGTCTCAGTACTCCCCAACCACCCAACCAAGGTCTTCTGTTGATTTTCAGCCATTGTGACAAGGCATCACCAATCATCAGGTCCTTTTACCCGGAGCTCCCATGTCATGGCCACTTGTCTCTGTATATAAAGGGAGTGATGAGGATGCTGCTTTGGATGAATGGACCTGGGGTGGGGAAAGGGGGCAGCAGACAGAGGCTGTCGTGGCAACAAGATCTCTGCTGCTGGCCAGAATTGGGAAATGTAAGAAGATGGTGAATTACTATAGATGTAAGTGTTCAGTATGCCATCTGACGGATTTACTACAGAGAAAAAAATCAAAGAAGTTATGCCAGAAAAAGAACAGGAAGACAAGGTATTGATGACATTTTCTGATTACATAAGGGGACTCTCAAACCTGAGGAACTGTCATCCTAGCTTGCAGGTGTTCCAAAATGTCATGCCTTTATCAGAGCAAAGCTCTCCATTTGCCTTCCAGAGACTGTCTCCAACTCTTTCCTGGCCTCCCAGCTTCCTGCAAAACCCCAGCTCTCCCCCACTCTCCCACTAGTCCTGCAAAAAACCAGACTTTCTGCATTCCTTACTTGCCTTTTTTATGCTAGAGCCTCCCTCGTATCTTTCCATTCAGTAGAGAGGTTGACATAACCCCTGGACCTACTTTTTTTAGGTGGGTTTCTCAAACCCTTTGGCCTTATGTCTCATGAAATCTGAGAAATTGAGCTTAGAAGCTCCCTATATAAAAAAAATACATGGGTTTCCTGAGTGTAAATCTTATGTTTTTTCATTCTTGTTTCCTTAGTCGGCAGCATAAGCCAATGCTCTGGTTGAAGACACTGCTTGACATCATGTTTTTCCATGTCATGTTTTCTCCCATGGCCAGCAAAAAGAAAAGCCTCTTTTGGTCCAGGCCCAAGACCACCATGATCATCTTTGATTTTACATCTCTGCCCCAGGGTCTCTAAGTAAAATCTCTCTCCTTTCACTGACGAATGTGTTTTGTGTGTTTTTGTTTAGCTGAAGAGTGGCCTGCGGTAACCTAGAGTACCCCCGCCTTTTTTCATGTTAACTGGAGAAATGGGGTATAATAGGTAAAGGGATAATCAAGTGAGTCAGAGGGAAATATGGAGTTCCTGTTTAAGAGGCTCGCTAATGAAATGTATGATTGGGTTTTGGCTTGGGATAGGTTGAGATGCTTTCTGGATATGAAAAGAACTTAATATGGTTTGATAGAATGATAGACCTTTTAAGCTGGCTGGGCTGGGGTACAGCCACCAGAAAACCCATAAACAGATCATCAGCTTATACTTCTAGCTTCATTTGTTGGTAATTAGTAATGTTGTTGGTAATTAGTAATGAAGATGCCCATTTTTCTAAAAACAAGTTCAGGTCACATCAACACGCAGCCCGGGAATTGTAAACATGAGGAAGGGCCTAGAATGGCATATGTGTATTTGGAACTTTTTAAAGGACGCCATCCTCAAGCTTCTTCTCATAGTGTACTCTAGATACAATGCAGTCTTGGGACACTTGGGGTCAAATAATTCTGATAAGCTATGTGGAAAACCTTGTATAATTCCTATAAAGTACCACATCATCTCCTACCCTCAACACAGTACCCTTAAATTGAAAAAGTTCTGCAATCTTTAAAAATCATATGCCAGCCAGACCAAGTTGATTTATAAGCTTGAGGCCTCAAAACCCAATTCTCCTATCTTCTTTGCAACCTGAAATAATGTTATATCACTAGATATAACATGTGGTAACATGTTAGTTATAACATTAGATAGCAGTATACCTTGCAGTGGTACCCCACAGTAATATAACTAAGTATATTTTGCAGTGGTGCCCTGTAGTAATATGCCATAGCTCTGTCTTGTGGTGGTACCCTGTCATAATGCTTTACTATATCTTGTAATAATGTGCAGTAGTCACATGTTTGGCATACACTGGTGTAGTCTTGGAGAGAAGGCAAAGGAGGTCAGTAGCCTTTCCTGATTCATCCTGGTGCCAGATTCACCATTTTCGCCAGATTTACATAAAACCTGGCCTTGTCCACATGCATGTGTTACTGAAGAGCTTATAGTCTAGAGTCAAAGTAGCAGCGCAGGGAGACCTGCCTTCCAGGTGCCCCAAGACTGAAATTAAGTGCGAGATCTTTGAATCTTTGTGTCTAAGGCATTAAATATTTATTGATGAAAGTCCTGTATGAAGTAAAAAATCATGACCCAAGTTACACCTACAGCCACTTTTGTGAGTTATGTCAGGTGATAAGGCTACTTGAGGGGGGACCTTGGAAGTAAAAGGCCGGACAGTACGCGTTGTAGTCTTTGTAGGCAAAAGCAGCCACAGTAAGTGAGTGGTCATATGGCCACATTCCAACAAGACTTTATCTGGAGCTTGTGCTATTATTTCGCTTATCTTGTAACAATGATCTCAATTCTACAACTGAAACACACTGAATAAACACACTGAATGACTAACTTGAAAAATCACTGAAAGGCAGAGGTAATGGAGTGTTCTTTCTACTCTCACAGTCCCCTGGACTAAAGCCCCCCAGGGCCTCATCCAGGCTCTGCCTGGGCCAAGAACTTCTTTCTTTGGGTCTTGTCTAAGTGTCAACCTTACTTTTCCTTTTCTAAACCCTTTGTGATAGTTATCCTTTCTATTCATGGGCCTTCACTTCTTTCTGGATGTCATCATGCAATGGGCCATCTTTTTACTTGTCTTGGTGGTAGTCTCAGGCTTCTTGTAAAAGAGGTAATTTTGGGGGTTGGGGGTAGCAGTAGGGGAGTGGGGCTAGGGCACGGAACCTCCTAGTCTTAAACCAGATGTTCCTCAGTTAGGTAAGCCTGTGACAGGAAGAAGAAAGCCAACTAGCTATTCCCAGGGTCAGGACATTGTGTGAAGCAACAGGGTCATAATGCTACATAAAGTCACCATTATCCTTATACCTCATAATAGCAGATGTTGAAACTGGCCCCAAGTTGAAGTTCGTAAGTTTATGAATTTGGATTCATTTTGCCTGTCTGTAACTCAGTTCCTAAAGTCTTTCTCCATTCTTTCTGTTTTTTCAAAATTTAAAAATTTTAAAGTTGTCTGTTACTATGCCATCTGATGTCTTTTTAAATACATTCTCCAACTACAGTAGATTATCTTACTCCCATGATGTACATCCACCTGATGGCTTAGGAGCCAACTATAGTCCTGCAGATGTGTTTTGACCATGTAGGCCAACACGGGGTGAGCAAAAAACATTTGAACTGGTTGCCACCACTGAAGTCAGCAACTTTCATATACAATCTGGATTTTTGACTTCTTTGTTGCTCTTAAAATTTGTCTAGCAACACTGCATCCCAGTTGACTAGAGTTCAGAAGTACTTTTTAGAGGGGGCATGCACTCTTTAGCATTATCTCTGCAAACCTCTACTTGTTTCACTTATATTACTATTACTGGCCTGAGCCCTGAAGACATTGACTTTGTAACCTATATCCTAAATCTTTGGAATTTACCACTACTGACCCTGTTGGTTCCACTTCTCTCTTGCCCACATTTATCAAATAGTCCAGGGGTCAGTTTGGTGTTGTAAACAGGGGAGCCAAGGGTAAGAATCTGGGATTGAATCAGGACAGCTTGCTCTCCTTTTCCTATTCAGATCCCAGGGACCACACATTATTAGGGCCACTTCATTCCTGGCCTCAGAATCCCTACTTGTTCCTAAAGAACAGTTTGAAACCCATGAAGAAAAAGGAGAAGAGAGCCAGATGTCTGTCTAGATGTGCCTTGGGTTCCGTATTGGGAATGAGAGACTCATAACAAAGCAGAGTCCTCCTATCCCTGACACTCAGCACTACATTTTGGTGGGTATAACTCTGTGGTCTCTAAAACAGTCTCCTTGCAAACAGCTGGAGCATCCAGGTAATTGTGTTAGGCAGAGCAAATGCCTGAAATAGGTCCTAGCCTCAGGAGTCTTTTCCAGGGTCCTGAATGCCTGCCCGGCAGGGACTCTGACTTCTGCATCTTTGGCATTTGACAGTAATAATGGCAGCACTGATGATGACGTTGTGACAGGATAGTTCATTGAATTATTAGTCCGTGTGTATCCTCTTAGCGTTTCCTCTCCCTTGCCTGAATCAGTCAGCCACATTTTCCTTTTGTTTCCTTACTTTGGCTGGGGGACGAAACAAAAGCTCTTTGAAGATAGCTTCCTTCCTGAGTTTTGAGACCTAAAAACCTGTGCTCAAGAAAGTATCACATTTTGGGAGTGACTTGACTTTAGTCACCCTCCAGTAGAGCCTGAGATAAGGACCTGAGTGCAGGTTTTATATTATGAAGTATATTCTAGGAAGCAGGAATGGGGGAATAGGGTGAGTGGACCTGGGAAGGGGGAATATAGAGTTTGTTACTGAACTGATTACTGTCCTGGGCAACTGAGGGAAAAACTACGTGAAATGAACCTTAGAAATGTCTGCCCCCACCATGCTGGGAGGCTGGGGCGTTTATCCATTCACTTTCATCTCCTACTAGTTGAAAACTTCCTTTGGGGAATGTTAACTGCTCCCTTCCCGGGCTGCCTGCTGTCTTTGGTATGTGGGAATACTTGCTCCCTCTTATTCTGTTCTCTGTTTTTTAGGGCTTCAGCCAAAAATGAGCCAGAAAAGGCATCATTTTAACATTTAACATTGTGTCTATGTGATTGATCTATTTATATTTATCTATCTCTGCATTTTATATACACATATATATAATTTCTGCATTATATCCTGCACTATAGGATCTGCATAATACTCTGTTATTTGGATCTCCATAAACTTAAATTAACCAACATCCTATATTTAGTACATTTCTAATTATTTGCTTTTATGCAAAAATGCATACAAAATATACATATTTATTCAGTATTGTTTGAATTTTCTTAGGCTACAGCTATAGAAGTGAAGTTACAGAGTCAAAGAGGATGACATCCTTAAGATTCTTAATACATTTTTTTTTCCAGATTGTTTTTCTGAGAGGTTTCATTGACTTATCCTCCCAACAGCAGTGTCAGAGAGCATTTATGGTGAACTTTGGCAACGACCGGGAATGGGTAGCCAAGGGAGTTTGTAAAATCTTATTGCTTAAAGAACTTTTAGCGCAGTGGAGATGTCTACTTATTTAGGATAGGTTAGGGAGTTATTCTACTAAAATAGAAAAGGGATGGATGATACTCACTCTGCATTCCCCAACTTCTCTATTCCAAAAATGCTTTTTTTCTTTTTTATTATATTGGCTGAAAAGAGCACATGCCCACTGATGGGCACACATTAAATACAGAGAACAGATTCTTAGCAAAGAGTCCTAAAACTAATCTTTTAGTTTTCAAAGGTGCCATCACTTGTTCCATCTTATTTTCTGTTGGTCCATGTAATAAATGAATTGCCAGGTATTCTCTGTTCAAATTTCCATGACCATGTGGAAAAGGATAAACCAGATACATGTCAGGATTCTTGGAATTTCAATATATATTACCAAACGTTTTGAGGAAAGTCCAATAAGGAAAAGGCTCAAGCTACTGATCATCAGGATTGGGAAGGACTTGATTTTCCTTTGTTTCTTCTGTTTCCCATGAGTTGACTGGTAATCAAAGAAAGGATAAAAAATGGGGGTCAAGGGAAGAGGGAAAACAAAGATCTAGATAAATTGGATTTCGGTTCAGCCCTTGGATTAGTGAGCAGGGGCCGTATTGCTCCATCAGAACTCAGGTGAACAATGAATTGCAGCCATATCTATGTTTTTTCCAATGCCTCCTCTGTCTTCATGTTTGACCTCCTTGCCTTTCTTATCTTACAGGCTCAGGGCACATTCACATCTGTCACCAACAAGAAATGGGCTTGGGTGTCACCGGAAACAAGGAGAACAGAATCTAAGGATTCTCAAGCCCGGAAAAAACTCTGACTTCCCCATTTTCTCTGAGGCTTCACGCTAGATCTTTTAAAGTTCTCAACAGGG